CCACCATTCAACCCGAAAGAAGTTATATAACCATTTCAATAACTCTGAAGCTGTTCAGTTAAGCTGAAAAAAACTGCATAGAATCCCTTTAATTCTGCTTTTTAAAACAGAAAAGGATGATGTGAAACTGTATTCGTGCAGTGTCAAAGCATGTCAAAAGATTAAATCCGATTTGAAGCTTGTGACAAACGCGCACATCATCCTGATCTTTTTATTTAGCGTTCATGTAAACACTGTTCGGATTCATCAATGAAATCATTCTGAACAAAACGTGTTCATGTAAACGTAGCTAATTTGCTAATCATTTTAAGGCATTCCTGTTTATGTCCATAATATTATGCATTATGGAGTGTGGGAAAAATGGCTTGGTTATTTTTAACTAGAATTTGCAGTACGATTATACACTACCATTCTAAAGCTTGGAGTCAAAAAGATTTTCTTTTTTGGAAATACATTTATACTTCTATTCAGCGAGGATAAATTGATCAAAAGTATAAATAAATTTATAATGTTACGAAAGATTTCTATTTCAAATAAATGCTGCTCTTTTGAACTTTCTATTCATCAAAGAATCCAGAAAAAAATATATATCACGGTTTCCACAAACATATTAAGCAGCATAACAAATTTTTATTGAGCTCCAAATCAGCATATTAGAATGATTTCTGGAGGATAATATGACTGGAGAAAACGTTCAAATGGTAGTAGTGTGTGTGTGTGTGTGTGTGTGTGTGTGTATATGTATATATATATATATATATATATATATATATATATATATAAAACGGTTCCAGTCCTTGATTCTGATTGGTCAATCAATAGCTGTGTTTTATTCACTATAAAACACAGCTATGACCGCTTTACCCAACGGTTCTGTGTATCACTACACAACACTCTTAGCAACGTAAACATGTTTGTTCTCATTGATATTGTTCATCGAAGCTTACTGTATTTTGTAGAGTAGAATATTGTGAGAGAGAGATCGAGTGAGCGAGTGTATTGCCTGCATTTAGATATAACATTTTCATTCAGGTCAGTCCTATGTTCTTAATAAAAAATCCGTTTGAATGTCCACTGCGATATCTTGTCCTTTTAACAGTTAATGGGTTTTCCTGTGCCCTGACTGACAGCACTAGTCAAAGCATTTGTCAGTTGCGTCTTGCTCCTCCGTGTTCACAACAAGTTTCAGTCCTTTCGATATAAAAGTCTTCTCTACTGACTGACTCGCTCATAAAGACAGTCTTTGCTGCCATCTAATGGCATAATAATGTAACTTCTGTTGCCGTTCACGGTCAGTGACTTTTTTTTTTTTCGGTAGAAAAAATTATTTTAGTGATTTTACTTCATGAAAGTTGCATTAATGCATATTTTTTGGCTTTAATATTTGTATTGTGTGGTAACTGTTTTATAAAAGCTTATATACAAATCACAGCTTTGCGTTGTGCCTACCAACTCCCTTCAGCCGTGACTTCTTCACGATACAGCACAGCATCTCGTATATACTGTATATATAGTCCAGAACCTTTCGTTTTGTATTGGACTGTGATGATGTAGTTTGTCTCTTGTTAGACTGTGTGCTGAGAGCCGCATATAACAAGCTCTATACAGTGAGACAGCTGGAGGCGGGAGGAGGAATGATCCTGCTCGACTTTAATGAAGAACAGGTGAGCTCATATATTTCAAACAACTCCTCTCTCTCCTGCAAGAGCTGCATGTTTTATGTACGTGTGTTTCCCGCATTGTCAGTGTAAAGCAGCCTATCAGAGCTTGCTGATTGCCGACCAGCACTGTCGGACCAGGAAGTACCTGCTGTGTGTGGCAGGTGGAGTTCCCTGTGTGTCTCAGATGTGGGTGAGGGACTGCTGCCAGGAGAAAAAGCTGCTCAACTACAGGAACTACCTACTTCCTGCTGGTCTGGGGCCAGAGGGATGCATTGTGGAGTGGTAAGAGCTTGTCTTGTTTGGATGAGACAGTCAGTCACTTTATTTATATAGCACAATTAAAACAACACATGTTGACCAATGTGCTTCACATAACTATACGATACTGACAGCAATAAATCACATAAAACTGTTAGTCATTGGTTAAAAGCCATAAAACAGATGTTTTAAGGTGTGATTTTAAACTCATAAACTGTAGTAGCGGCTCTGATATAACTAGGCAAGCTATTCCAAAGTTAGGGAGCTACAGCAAATGCACAATCTCCTCTTTGTTTTAATCTAGACCTCAGAACTATTCTAGCCTATTCTAAGTAGTGTATTTCAGCGTTCTTTAATACTCAGTCAGGAGATCCAGAGATAAGATGGCATGGGACCATTCAAGGACTTCTGTACCTGTAAGAGAATAATGCCAAGACACCTGTAACTTATTGTAAAAAGAGCACTGAAAACTAGAAATGTCTTAAAACTGAACCAAGTCAGTACTGCATTTCACACATTCCTTCTTAATGTTTTTGAACTGCTCATGCATTTACTGTCATCAAGTAATGTAAATAAGTTAATTCCTACACAGCTGTAGACAATACTGCCCTTTGTGTATGACTAAACTGTCATGTCCGAAACGATAGGAAAAATTTACTGGAAATCTAATCGAATTCAGACTGAAACGCTTTTCGAAAAATGGTGTTATAATTACATTTCAAACCACAACTCTTAATTATTAAAAACTCAAAATATAATTAAAAGCTTTAAAAATATGAAATGTTTATTTCTCTGTATTGATCTGAATATAGATAATTGTATAATTGTTTTGATTTTCTTTTATCTATTGTACTTTTATATGTATGTACCGGTACATGTTTTGTGATATTTTGCTTTGAGTTTGAGAAAGGCACATAAATAAATATTTTGTTTTATCACATATGGACTTGATTTGGATTGGGTTTGTAACATCCAGATGCTTTATTTTTTTATCAGACTAGTACAAACACATTTTTTTTTTTGTTGAATACATTCGTTTAATTTTTTTCCTGGCTGCCTTAAAGCCATAAGTGCTTGAATTTTCTTTTGATTGTTTTCTTGTGTTCCCTGTCCTCAGGCATCCTCGTGGGAACCCTTTTAAAGCACTGAAGGTGATGCTGATATCAGAAGATCGTGTGGATTTGTGGACCTCTTTGCTTTCCATGGGTGGTGCAGCAAAAGTTCATCACCATAAAGAAAATGAAGACATTTCTGGTGGGTAACAGTCCCTTTAGTTCATTAGCAAAATGTAGATGTAGCTTGAAAGGTACGGCACTCTAGTGGTTAATAAACAAAACTGCATGTGTCTTGTGGAAGAACATTGTAGCCGGAGCTACTTTTCTGTTCATTTATATGATGAGTCACGCAGGTACAGGGCTACTCCGCAGCATTTGTCGTCCCGCCAGGTCTAAAATAGTCCGAATAGAAACACTTAAAGGCGTATCATAGTGATTCAGGACAAGGTTATTTTCGTAAACGAAAACTGAAACTATGACTAAATCTATTGGTCAAAAACATTTTTGTAAACTGAAATAGAATCGCAATTTCAACATAAATGAAAAACTAAAACTAACAACAGTAACAGAAAAACTAACTGCAATAAAATAATAATTACCAAAAATAAATAATCGTTTTTGTGAGCAATAAGCTCTCATCCTGTATCGGAAAAACACGTTTTTCCATTGAACTGCACTACTTTATTTTAAATGTATGAGCTTGAGTCTCGCCCGCGTCTTTTTTCCGTTTTTCTCAGCAAAACCGCTTTCTGTGTGAACCAGCCCTAAGAAGCAGAAATGACCAAATAAGTAATTCCATCATATCTAGACCTTATGCAAATACAGCTGTACCTTAATTCCAGGTAAGATAACCATCTTATGTGAAACTTAACAAGATACCACACATATTAGACAGGAGACCACACTGAGTAAAAAACAAATAGCATGTCTAGAGCCCACAAATAATATTTGTCAGAGTAGAAGTAAACTAAATTTCTGGTCTGAATAGAACACATTAATATGAGTAAATTATATTAAAAGATGCAATAGACACAAAGCATAAATGGATCAATACAAGAATATTGTTTGAAAGGATTAATCATAGAAATAACCATAAAATAATAATCATGGAAAGTTGTTATTGTGGTTCTGTTAACTTTGCTAAACTATAGTTACTAAAACAAAAACTAAATAGAAATGTGTTCACAAAATAAAAACTAAACTAAAACTAACATACCATTAATGAAACTAACTAAAACTAAACTGAAATTTGAAAATGATATTAAAATAAATACTAATTTAAAAATGCAAACCTATAATAACCTTGATTCAGGATAAGACAAAAACATGGTTTGAAAGATGGATTCATGATATAATCGCTCATTATATTCTTCTTCATCCTAGATCCTAGAGTCTGCTCTTCCGATTATGGCATGCCATTTTGCACGAGCGCACTTTTTGGGTGTAATTTGCTGGAGAGTGCGCTCGACCGTGCAAAATGGCATGCCATGACCCAAAGAGCGGACTCTGCACTTCCGATATACTCGCTCATTAAATTTTGAACAAAAGCTACATAGTGTACCTTTAAGTATGCACACAAAAAAAAGTGGTGGCAAAGTGATTAAAAAAGCATATGGAATAACGTGATGTCGATTTTGTCATTAACAGACATTACAAACATGAAGTTAGACCTGGCAGTGACAGCATCTGCAAGTCCCTCTGAGGAACTGAAACACGTGGCCCCGGACATGCCTGTCGTCTCTCTGGAGTGGCTGATTCAGAGCTTGATCTGTGGAAAGTGCCTCAGCTATGACAGCAATTCTGAATTCTGTCACAACCCGTCTACGTAAACCACCGTCCTCGCGTGTCTTTTAAATGTCCTCTGTTTTAGTGCATGCATTTTACTGTACATAGTTTTTATGACATAAAGAAATCGTGATTGTTTCACTTGTCGGTTTTATTTCATAACAGACAAAGCACATGTTATTTACAGATTTTAAGTGTTCATAGGGTAGTTGAGAGTACGGTAAAAGCAGGACACAAGCAGTGACATTGACAGGAGCCCTATCATATTAATTTAATGTACAAATCAACAAGTATTGTATTGGGCATGTTTTAAGATGAAATGCACCATTGTGTGAGGTTTGCCTCTGAGATCTTCAGGCTCCACTTCATAGGCCAAAACTGCAGGACAATGAACAACATGTTACATTTTTGCATGAATCGGCTCACTAATGCTGGGTACACACCAAAAGATAATCGGGCTGATTTTGGGCCGATTTTCCCCCTTCCGACAATCCTAGCTATGTCCCGATTATCTTGATGGTTCTACAGATTATCTTATCAGATTTTCCCTTGGTGTGAGGTGTGTTAAGAGTGTCCGAACCTGCTCGGAAGAACGTCGGAGCCGCCCCGATCGCGAATCATAAATATTCATCATATTGAATATTTACGCTTCGCGATCGGGGCGGCTCCGACCAGAAATCCTGATGTGTGGGGCACGCTCTGGAGATTATCACGTGAAACGAAACAATATCCAATCAGAAATCGAGATGATGGAAGACGGAAGCATAACAAACGCAGTCATGGCGTTGCAAAAAGTTAAATTGATGTGGACAGCAGAGATGGAGGATCAGCTTGTTGATTTGTGGCAACAGCACGAATGTTTTTCTGTGAAAATCATTCCAAACACTATCATCGCAATTTCTTCCTGCATATCGTCCGCCAAGCTTATTCTGAAGTCTCGCGAGATTTTGTGAGATTTCCTTTGTTCACAGTCGAGACTGGTTGAAAATCTGTTCGTGTGTGGTGTGCTGTCTTTGTCACATCATGGCACACCACACACTATAGGAGCAAAACGCTTAAATCTAGGATTTTTTGTCCTCATGTTTGTGGTCTATCACATTTTGAAAATCTTATAAGATGTAAAAAATCTTTTGGTGTGTACCCAGCATAAAGCACTGCATCACTCATGCCTACCTTCCCAGCGTGCCTCCTGCCTGTGTGTAGTATTTGTTGTAGTCTAGTCGTAACAGCAGCTGTGCCAAGTCCGAGTTTATCTGGTGGTTCCGGACGCTGGAAAGAATCTTGAAAAGCAGGAACGACTGACGACTAAATCCCTGGGAAGTAAAAGTACAGATATATCTATCAAAGCCCATTTCTGCCACATTAAAAACATGTTGGTAAATCATTAATTTCATGACAAAGTGTTGTTTTGAAGATTTTGAAATTATTACAGATGGAAGAATTTATGGAAGCCCATTTCTGCCACACACACACACAAAAAACTTCAGTAAATCATAATTATGACAAAGTTTGTTCAACTTTTCTTTAAAAAAAAAAACTTGACTTCAACTGGTCATCATTCTGACTGTCAATTTTGATTTGAGCTTTTTATCTCGATTTAGATTTATGACTTACCAAAGCATGATTTTTTTTCTTCTTATGTGGCAGAAATTGACTTCCATAAATACGCATAAAATCTTGCATTAGGAATCATTTCAAAAACCAATTCACACAAGCAAAGCTACCTTCACAAGAATATCCAGCTGGGCTGTTCCTCTTTCATCCAGAGGCCCAAGATTCTGACTGACCAGGGAACAAAAGTTGTGACACAGGTCCAGAATTTCATTCAAACAGTGAAACACCTAGGAGAGCAATAAAGTGATTATTTAACCAAAAGCAAAACACACAATCTGGGATACACAGAGATATGTTCTGGACACTCACAGGCTTGAGCAATATGAAAGATTGTGCAAGAAGATTGCTGAGGAAATGGTCATGGGCCAATCGAATGCTCTCAAAGTCTCTTGTGGAGTTGATCTGTTGTAAGAGCTGCGAAAACTGAGACTCCAGAACGTCCACCTGAAGAACAATGCAAAATAATTATATTAACTATATTCATTGTTCTTCTGCTTGGTCTCAATTTGCATACTAAACAACAAACAGTATGCAAGATTAGTATGTTAAAAATATTATTTGGTGTCCAGATGGTACACTTTCTCTGGTGAATCTGTGTGCATGTAAAAAAAAAGTCCCATTGTTATTTTGTCTCAAGATGCACACCAATAATGTTTTTTTTTCTAAGTCACATTTATAAAATCTACTTAAATGTCCTAATTGAATGAAGCCCTAATCGTGGTTTAATCTAAACCCTGTCTGTGAAACCAGGCCATGGAAGTTTTTTAACGAATGTTTTAAATTTTTTATTGTTTTCATTATTTTATCATTCATCATGTTAATAGGGGGTATTTATTATAAAGATGCAATGTTGACATCTTAATAGGTCCCAATAGTGGTACACCTTCTAATGACCTATTAGTATGCATGTACACTTGGGGGAATCAGTAAAAAAAAAAAGTACTTCAGCAAAGAAACATAAAATGGATCAAACTGACAGTAAAAGACCTTCATAATGTTACAAAGGATTTCTATTTCAAATAAATGCTGTTCTTAGCAGCACAACTGTTTTCATCATTGAAAATAATAAGAAATGTTTCTTGAGCAGAAAATCAGCATATTAGAATGATTTCTGAAGGATCATGTGACACTGAAGACTGGAGTAATGATGCTGAAAATTCAGCTTTGCAGTCACAGGAATAAAATGATATAATAATATTTTTGTATATAAATTAAATGCAGCTTCAGTGAGCATAACAGATAACATATTTCAAAAACATAAAAAAAAGTACTATTGACCTTTAAGCAGTAGTGCATGTTTTTTCACATCATCAGCAAAATACTTTTAGCAGTGTGTAGTACGTAGCCAAGTTGTAACCTGAAGGTAATACTGAAGGTTGTCCACTAGGAAGGCCATATGGTTGCGGAGTCTCCATTTAACTGCATCCGTCTGGTTTGATTTGAGATGTTTGCGCTGCATCTGCAGGGCCCAGCAGTGCTGCAGCTCGGACTGGACACGACGCACACTCAGCAGGTAACGAAACACTACGTTATACCTGAAATGAAGCACGGGTTAACCGCTGTGGTGTTCATACAGTTGATTAATGGAATAATAATATTAAATGGCCAATATAAACCAATGGCTTACTTCTCCAACACAGCAGGAGTGAAAAGAATATGTAGGGGCCATTGAACTTTGTAAGCCAATCCCAGCGCAGCCCAGCCAGTGGGCGGAGCCTCACGAGGAGAACTCTCCTGTGGAGGAGTGGTGCCCTCTCGATTCCCAGAAGCCTCTGCGAGCATTATTATACAATTATGTGAAGTATTTAATATGCGGACACAGGGTTGGTTAGGGCTAAAAATGCTAGTCGTTAGGCAATACCTTTGCTTTCTTTCCCTTGGTAGTCTATGGTGAGATGCAGGAGGGGCAGAAGATTGTCATCATCTAGCAGCACTTTATGAGCTGCTTGCTGAAAGGCCACATTGACATCTGAAACAAAAATATCAAAATCAGAGGAATAATGAAGAGGATGGAAGAATTTGAAGAGGGTGATTTCATGCGTTATAAGAAAAATGAATCAATACCATGTTCAGTAACAGCAGATGGTGGGGTTTTCAGCATATGTTGAGCAAGGTCAATAAAGACTTGGTACAGTTCACCTCGCCCCAACAAGTAAAAGTCCTTTATGATCTAAAACAGCAACAACTCATTCATTGTGAAAGCAAAAGTGCGCCAGCAAAAGCGTACCATCAACAAATCGCTCCGTTTACCTTAAGCTGCCCCAAAAGATCAGATTCCTCTACCATCAAAGTCCATAAGTGCTACAAGAAAAGACAAACACAATTTCATCTGGACAATAACTGATATTTTGTAGAGCTATTAGTGCGGGTGAATCTCACGAAAATATGCCAATTTTTCACCTTGAAAAAAAGTAAAATTTTGACATTTCAAAATGTAACCGTCACATTGTACAAGTGTCCGTGAATTTTCCAGGCGTGAAATTACAATGTTAAAATTTCCTGATATTTCCACGTTTTCCATGACTGGAGGAGTTCTGCCATTCATCTAATCATCTTTTAGATTCTCTTTACTAATACAATACATTATATTTTCAAATTTCAAACCATTTTGGTAACACTTTATAATTAGGTTCTATTTGTTAACTATTAGTTAAAAGGAACAATTAAAATACTTCTTGAAGCATTTATTAATATTTTTAATGTCAAAATTTCAACATTTAATAACACATTATTAAAATCGAAAGATTTGATTTTGATTTGAATTGTTTCATGTTAGCTCAGATCCATTATAAATAATAATAACTAACATTAACAAAGATTAATAAATACTGTAACAAATGTATTGCTCATTGTTAGTTAATTCATTAACCCATTTGTTAACTAATGGGAACTTATGGTAGTGTTACAAAAAAAATTCACATTACAGAAACACTTTTTCAGCTGCATTGGTTCCGGAAGTATTTTTTCCATTCATTTCCCCATAGGGATTAAAAAAAAATATTTGTTAAAGAGTTATATGTCATGAACCAAGCTATGAGGTGAATCATAACATTAAAAACTGCCAACAAAAATATAAAGTTACAAGACTGTGTAATTAATGACTTTAGTGAGGGAAAGAACTACAATCCCATGAAGCACTGCATCAGCATAACCAAATTAAAAACTATGGAGAAATATATACGGGGATTAATTATTATATATTTGGGGATAGTTCACCCAAAAATGAAAGTTCTGTTATCATCTACTCACCCTCAAGTTGTTCCAAACCTATATGAATTTATTTTTTCTGCTGAACACAAAAGAGGATATTTTGAACATTTTGCCCATTGATTTCCAGAATATTTTTCCATACTATGGAAGTCAACTGTTTGGTTACCCATATTCTTCAAAATATCTTCTTTTGTGTTCAACAGAAGAAAGAAATTCATAAAGGTTTGGATCTTGAGGGTGGGTAAATGAAGAAAGAATTGTCATGTTTGGGTGAACTATCCCTTTAATGTTCAAGTATTTTGAAAGCATAAAGAGGCTGACTCGATTACATCATTCACAGTGCTTAAAATCTTGAAAATAATGTCATAATGGCTTAAAAATGGGCTTCATTCATCTTGTGAAATATGACCCCGAGATGTTATAGACATGTTTCACATTTTGGGATTCAGATTTAAAAACCAATTTAGTTAGGGACCAACCTCAGCAACTGTGCTCCGAATGCCATCCACAAGATTCTCAAAGTCCACCAGACTAAAGAGAGGCTGCTGTTTGAGCCTGTGGAGCTCTGCTGCAAACATGTCCTCCTGATGCTTCAGTATAGACCCTGAGCAACCACATGAGGGCAGCGTTACGAAACAAAACCATCACGAACACACCTGAACAACAGACGCAAAACGCTCATTCACTCACCAGCTCGCGATGGACTCTGGTTGTGATTTTCAAACATTTGCACAGACTCTCCAACAAAGAGGATTTTTTCAGCTACTCGAACAGGGATGTATGAGGGAAGCATCTCCACACGCAAGGAGAACTGCTGCAGAGAAGGTGCGAGCATGTTCTCTTCCTCAATCAGCCTCTACAGTGGGAAAGTAACGAACAGAAAATGTATTAATTGTTATAATAAACCGCAACCAGTAAAAAAAAATGCGAAATTTCGATTTATGTACAAGCCGACAGAGTTTGGCTGGTTTGTAACTACACCATTCAGCTGCCAATCTTTTTCTATTGATGGCTGTTTAAAGGCGGCTGTGTATTTTGATTAGGTTTAAAAACAACAACAACATAAAAATAGCAAATATTTCATCACATTATAGTAGATGTTTTGCCAGGGAGCATCTATTTTATAAGTGAGAAGTGGATACATTTTATAATGCTTTGCGAAAATCAGCGTTTGTAGCAAACCTTAAAGGGATACTCCACCAGTTTTTCTTATTAAACTATGTTATTCCCTTAACTAAGACGAGTTGATACATACCTCTCTCGTCTCAGTGCGTGCACTATATCGCTCTGTATTGCCGCAAAACTATGTTAGCACTTAGCTTAGCCCATGCATTAAATATGGGCCAAGCAGAGAAGCGACCAAACACTTCCACGTTTTCCCTATGTAAACACAGTTACTCGAGTAGTGTAACTTGACCTGGGCTGGTGACACAAAATAAACCGTTGCGCTTTTCTAAGCGTTTAAAATTGATGACTATATTGTATGGCGGAATACCATAACAAGTGCTTTTGAGCACTTCGACTTGGCGCAATAATATCTTCACTCGTGAAAAGTCCTCTTACCGGCTCCCGCTTCCTCTCCCCCTCCCTCTGACATTTCCGTCAATACAACCAACGTGACATGCGCCGGTAGTAGTAGTTCGAGCGGAGTTGACGAAGTAACAGGTTGTTGGAAGCTAGTTAGCTTAGTTAGCATTCTAAACAGCACAGGCTCTCAATTTCGGTCGGCATCTGTTCGCAACAGTCACACTTGCACCACCAATTGCTGTTTGCCCGTGGTCTTTCGCCAGCTCCGGTCTGTTCTGGATCATTATCTTTCTTGCCTCTCACGGTCCATAAGAGCTAATTCCTCCTCCGTGTACTCGGGTTCAAACAGATATGGCTCTGGGTCTTCTACAAAGAAGTCATAATCATCTACAAAGTCCGCCATTGCAAATGATCTGCAGTTTGCTAATAGCACAGGTAGTAAAAGTCACGTTGGTTGTATTGACGGAAATGTCAGAGGGAGGGGGAGAGGAAGCGGGAGCCGGTAAGAGGACTTTTCACGAGTGAAGATATTATTGCGCCAAGTCGAAGTGCTCAAAAGCACTTGTTATGGTATTCCGCCATACAATATAGTCATCAATTTTAAACGCTTAGAAAAGCGCAACGGTTTATTTTGTGTCACCAGCCCAGGTCAAGTTACACTACTCGAGTAACTGTGTTTACATAGGGAAAACGTGGAAGTGTTTGGTCGCTTCTCTGCTTGGCCCATATTTAATGCATGGGCTAAGCTAAGTGCTAACATAGTTTTGCGGCAATACAGAGCGATATAGTGCACGCACTGAGACGAGAGAGGTATGTATCAACTCGTCTTAGTTAAGGGAATAACATAGTTTAATAAGAAATACTGGTGGAGTATCCCTTTAAAGGTGCACTATGCAGGAATTCCGTTTTTGTCAAACAGCGACCCCTAGAGTTGCTGTGGAGTACTTGTACTGTCGTAAATAGCATCCGCGCAGAGATGGCTCTCTGCACTCACGGCCTGATCCCCCCTGTACACCGGTACCTGTTCAGTAGGATGGAAGCTGTAACGAGTTGAAATAAGGTGTGGCCCCTTTAAGAGCTGCGCGCGCCCTGTTTAACTGTCGGCAGTCTGTATTGTATGTGCGCCTCGAACACCACATGTATACGGTGCCGGGTTATTTCTGTTTGGTGCTTATTTTATCAGAATTTTATCAGATCTTTTTTGCCGTAAAGCAATTCGTTACATTGCGAGACCTGATATCACGCGACACTTTCCTGATGCTGCGGCTGGCGGCCCGCCGACTCAAAGTTGCAAGTGTGTTTTTTCCGCTCACATGCGATAGGGGGGTGCGAAACGACCACCATTCAACCCGAAAAGAGTAATATAACCATTCCAATGACTCCGAAGCTGTTCGGTTGAGGTAAAAAACCTGCATAGTTCACCTTTAAAGAATTGTTAATGTTAATGTTTTGCATCCACAAAAGCTTATAATGTTAATTAATGCTGTTTTATTATTATTATTATATTTATTGAATAATTTCCTTGTTTTAATAACAAAAATGTAAAAAACAAATTTGGTAATACTTTACAATAAGGTTCCATTGGTTAACGTTGGATTCACTAACATAAACTAACAATGAGTAATACATTTGTTAGTGTTACTCTGTATGTTTGTTTAGGTCCATCCTTGCGCACCTGCGTCTCATTGTCTGCGCTTCTTGATTGAGTATAAAAGGACGCTGAAGAGGAGCATGATAGGGAAGAGGAAATATTCACTAGCAAACAAGCTTTTATTTGCATTCCTTTTTCATTGGTTGCCTCTGTTAAGTTGGAAATTTCAGGTATTGTTATTTGTTTGTTCTTTGTTGTTAAACTATTTAGAATTATTTTTGTTTCTTGTTTCTCCATTATGATACTTGTTAATTTTGTTTTCCTAATAAATATTTAAACATCGCATTTTGGTTTCATGTATCCTTTTTATGTTGCTTACCCCTTCTTTTGATGAATTGAAATAAAAAAAAATATGAACAGATACAGCTTTTGATTTTAATTATGTAGTAGTAAATGTTGTTAGTTAACTAATGTTAACAGATGGAACCTTATTGTAAAGTGTAACCATAATTTTAAATGAAAATTGATCATATTCATTTAATATAAAATATTAAATAGAAATATATTTTTAACATGTATATAAAAATACATTGCTAAGATAAAAATGTATCATTACAGTAGATGTTTTGCTAGGGGCTGTTTGGAGGGTTTTTTGAGGGAAAAATTTACATGACAATATTAAATATATTCAATTGAATAAAACTGATAAAATAATAAATACAAATATTCCGTCAAAAAAAAAAAAAGCATTGCTAAGAAAAAAATGTATTATTGTTTGTGGTGCAGCCTAAGAATTCAGACACATGACCCAGCCTGAATCACACAATCTCAGGAAGTGCTGTTCAGGTATTTAGGCCGCATTTACACTGCAGGTCTTGATGCCCACTATCCGATTTTTTTTAAGACCAGCTTACATCTTCTTTTAAAAAGTGACCCAAATACAATATTAGCATTTACCCTGTACACCTGGTGAAACAAGCCAAAGTAGACACACTGCTTTTGCTTTCCGCACCATCTTTAAAGGTCAGCAAAACTGGGGTTGAGCTTTCGTCCTCCATTGCGTCATTAAACAAAGTCATGTGATCGAGGTCAGTGTCCACCTGTTGAAGTCATTCACCACTGTGTTATCAAGCATGACTTGCATTGACAGGGGAATATCCGATCTGTCCGCTTACATGGCAGACGCAAATGCATGTTTCCGATTCACATCAGATTTATTTCCAATGAGGCCTGAAAACGATCTGAGAATATCGGACGGAATCCATGTGCTTTTTTTCCTGCTTACACATTCGTGGGTCATATCCAATCTGTATTGGATCACCTGAACCATGTAGTGTAAATGCATCCTTAGTCGCTCACCAAATCCTGCAGCTCACGGAGCTGTTTTCCACTCAGCCCTCCGATACCCAGGTCCTCCTCCTCTTCCTCCTGTGCAGCTGTGGCTCCGCCAGCACTGGGACCCTGCTTGACAAAGAACTCCTCACTCTGATCCAGCAGCAACCCGTGCAGCATCCACGCAGCCAGCTGCTTATACATCACGCCATGGCACACTGCAAGAATCCTGCGATGCAGACACTACCATTAGAGCAGTAAAAATAGAATTATGTGTCTTACGTTCGAGCATTAGGGGTTTTTAGTAGGGTTTTTGAGAGCTCACTTCTCTAAGGCCGTCCTGACAGGAGGCAGTCCTCCACAGCTGTGCTTGTACACAGTCTCTAGGATCTGGCAGCCATGAATCTGTTGAAACAAGAAGAAAGTTTCAGAAGGTTATTATTTCCAACCATGCACTCTTCTAATCATTTACCGCAAACAGGCGGCACCCATCTAGTTACCAACCTTCTGAGACTTGATGGTCTCCACAACAACCATCACAGATGGGAAGAGAAGCTGAAACTGAATAAACTGCAAGTTAGACATATATTCGTTGTCCGTATTAAAAATATGGGACTTAGTTGAATTTAATTTAAATCCATTTTTTTTAATTATGTAATGAATTAAACCACCGTGTGTACTACAGTTCAAAGGTTTGGGGTCAGGTAGATTTTTTTTTTTTAAATTGTATGCTCACAAAAGCTACCACTCACTTTTATTAAATCAAAAATTCAATAAAAATAGTAATCTTGTGAAATGTTCTTTGTTGGCAAAGCTTAATTTTAGGCAGCCATTACTCATTGATGATGGAAACAGTTCTTCTTAATATTTTTGTGGAAACCGTGATACATTTTTTCCAGGATTTATTTATTTTTTGCAACTTTATAAGCTAAACGTTTTTACAGTCACTTTTGATCCATTTAATGCATCCTTGCTGAATAAAAGTATTGATTTCCTTAAATACACAAGTATAGAAAAAAATCTTACTGACCGCAAACTTTTGATAATTCCACATATTTCAGTGGATCAGGTGTACAGGTAAAAAGTCAAGTTTTCTCTTTACCTGTTCCAGCATGTAGTTTACATGAGAAATAGAGAGGTGTGGATCACCAAGAAACTGTAAGAAAAAATGTAAATAGTTTATATTATCTGCAATTATGGATCTAAAAGCACTATAAGGACTCTCCAAATGTACAACCTCTTTTTCAAGGTCCAGTAAAGCCTGTCGATAGGGCTGCAGCATAGAGTTCAGCCCAGTGCAGAACGCACGCAGATAAATGCCATGAAGCCCAGACTGACTCGGCTGGCTGGAGTAGTGCTCCTGTGAGACATGGAGAAGGAATCACACTTCTGCCTCGATCTGATCATGTCCTTGACACACAATGAATGCATGAAGAATATGATCTGATTACCTGTTGGTGGACATGACCCGTGTGTTGCTCTATAAATTCTGTGAAGCGCACATAGTCAGTGCCCATTTTACAGAGCCGATTGAGGACACTGGTTTCACTGGGGTGGAGGAATGGAAGGTCCTGGGACACCTGTGATCAACAACACTTGATGCATCTTATTTTACACTGGAATACAAACAAAGTATTGCTTTTTTTTTTTACATGGTATTTTTGAAGTACTTCAGAATACCATGATATTACCATGTCTGGGGCATGCATGCAACATGGTAATACCTTTTTATGGATTATCTTACCGTGGTATTCTGTGTACCAAGTACCATGTACCATGTAAATGCAATACAACTTTAAGGGATATTTTTTATAAATACATTTATAAATGTAAAACAAAAACTACTGACATGTTAGTTAAAAAATATGTTCCTGTTTCCGTACAGCCATGATGCAAATTATTCATTCTGTAATAGAGATATATTATTAAATGCATCAATGACAGAATACTGTATTTAATACCTGCAATCCATTCCGTTTATTCCAAGTGAATATGGTCCCAGGATATCCACTGAGAGCCAGAAGCAACTCATGGATCATTTTTTTACCGACGCTGCTAGTCAGATAGCGTATTCAAATGAAACAAACGACAATAAAAATACAGGTAATACGTTCTCATCATTATTTTTGCACCGCCAAAACCCCGTCGCACGTTGATGACGCAAATCTCGAGCGCGACAGGGGAAGTGCTCAGACAGCTGCACTACAATCACATTTAACATAATATTTTTACTACATACAGCTGATGAGGACTTGTCTGCGGATAATATAGTTAGAGGTAACCCTTGTTTATGTTCTCTTAACGATCTGATGCAGTTTTTGTGTGTGTTTTGCCGTTTCATTATTTTACATACTGATTGGCCCTAGCGACTGCTTGGACTCTTATGAAATAAAATTGAAGTTAATATTGGAGTCATTAAATCCACACAGGATGAGCAAAGTGGTCATTTACATGCATTACTAAAATGCTTTGGTAATTGTATCGTGATAGCCTGCTAAAAAATAATCTTTGCGATCTTGTATGAAGAAAGCAAGCCTTAAACAACAGAACTTAACACTGAGCACTCTTACCTAAAATAAGTGTACTGATGTTTATATATATGTATGAGCTGTTCTCTCTGTCTGCAGATTTAGTATCTTGCCAGCAACCACTGATGAACTGTTTGTTTGTCTGTCTGTCGCTGGGAAACATGCCTAGAATTCCGGTCCTCCTCAGGGCCTGAACCTGCTGTGTGGGACACCTGCCTTTTATGAACTTCTCAAAGTAACTTTTGATTGTTTTACATGTTTTCAGTGATGGCGGCGGGGACAGGAGCAGATATCGTCTCTGAGTTCCTCAGTCAGAATCCACACCTCGTGAACTGGGTGGAATCGTTAAGAGGATATTGTGAGACAAATAAACAATGGCATGCGAGGAGAGAGTTTGTCCTGCGCAATATGGAGGCTTTTCCTACAATCCAACCTGGGACCCCAAGTCCTAATTTAGACAGACTACTTTCTCTGTCTATGGTTTGGGCCAACCACGTGTTTTTGGGCTGTCGGTAATTGTCATTTTATCATGGACTTTCTTCATTTGTTGTTGTTTTCATGAACGTAAAATGCATTTCGTATAACATCAGTTCTAAATTGGGTCAGTGACATTTATCTCATTTTGCCAGATCTATACATTTATACGGAAATATGCTACCCAAAAGTTTGGGTTTATTTATTTATTTAAATTAATACTAATGGATAGCAAAGATGCATTAAAAATGTTAAAAAGTGACCGTGTAAAGACCTTTTATAATGGTATGAGAGATCAAATAAATTGTCTTCTTTTGAAATTTATGTTCATTAAAGAATTTCATGTTTTTTCACAAAAATATTAAGCAGCACAACCGTTTTCAACATTGATAATAATAATAAGTAATCGCTACTGCATTGAAATGGCTACATTTCAACTTTACCATCACAGGAATACATTAGATTTTAGAATATATTAACCATATTATTTTAAATTGTAGTATTTCATAATATTTTTTATTTGACTGTATTTTTGATCAAATAAATCCTTGTTTTTTTTTACCCTAGACTTCTGAACAGTAGTGTACAATACATACATAAAATGGCTTTAAATAAATCTCTTCTGTGATAAGCATATTTGACATTTTCTATATTAAAATTAATTTTTGTGTTTTTTGGGGAGAAATAAAGTAGAAAATGTGAATGTGATAGAACTGTCCTGATATTATAATGAAGATTAAAAGAAAGAAATTCTTGAAAGGAAAGCATAGTTTGGCATAATTTGTATTATTATCTAAAATAAATTATCATTGGAGCATTTTTGTTACTAGTAATATTAATATTTGAAAAAAAAAACTACCAAATGAAAGTCACGTCACACTTCTAATACATTTCTAATATTGTCAGATGTGTTTTAAACTTGATTTTTTAAAAGATTCCTTTTCCTTTTTTATTGAGCACACTCTTATGTTGTTGACTTTAATGCAGATATCCACAGCCTGTAATGGACAAAATAAATGAGATGGCGGAAGGAATCACTGTGATTGAGGCCCCTGAGCGAAAGACTAGAGATGAAATCATGGGAAAAACTAAAAGACCTGCAGTTTCAGGTAAATGGACTGTCTTTAATGTGTGTCATTGAAATAAATACATTACTTAATGGGGAGCCAATACTATCAGTTACAAATTATGGCCCCACTTTATATTAGGAGTCTTTAACTACTGTACTGTACTAACATTTAAATTAATCATTTGATACAATGCACTTATTGTGTACATGCATGTTTTTTTTACCTTTTATATTCATATTTAAAAAAAAAAAATACCTGCATGTATTTACAGCTGTAATAAATTTCATTTAATAAATTTAATAATTACATCTACATGTATGCTTACACTGACCCTTCTCTTACAATTAACCCAACCTTAATCCTGCCCGTACCACCAAACCTGTTCCTAACCTTACCCGCATCCCACCTCATTAGCAGCAAAAGGTGTTTTGCAAGCACAATAAATACATTGTACCCATGTTTTTATGTAAGGATAGTAGTTAAGGAAACTTAATATAGTGTGAACCAAATTATAAATACCTTGGCATAGTGCAAGACCATGAGCTTAAATGGGACATGCTGACGAGTTACATAAGTATGAAGACACGACAGAGTATTCTTAAAGAAATTGCCTTCCTTTCAATGTCCACAACAGAATGTTTTATGGTGCTTTTATGAAAGTGTCATGAAATTCTGTGTTTGTTGTTATGGTTATGCTATGGTTATGCTAATAATGGCAAGTAATTTGTTAGGGAATACATCACATAGTATAGATGGTATTTATAAAAAGGGATTGTTAAATAAGGCAAACAATATTGTGAGTGACAAGAGGCATCCTCTGGCCTTTTTAGGTTTCTTTTTATTTTTTATTAAAATATTTTTTTTATGCCAATTTGTGATGCCTGTGAACATTGCTGAACCCCACTTTCCCTACGGGGACAAATAAAAACGAATGTACACTACCGTTCAAAGTCTCTTATGCTCACCAAGACTTCATTTGCCTAACCAAAAATACAGTAAAAACAGTCATATTGTGAAATATTATTACAATTTAAAATAACAGTTTTCTATTGTAATGTATTTTAAAATGTCATTTATTTCTATGATGGCAAAGCTGAATTTTCATTACTCATTACTCCAGTCTTCAGTGTCACATGATCCTTCAGAAATCATTCTAATATGCTGATTTGCTGCTCGAGAAACATTTCTTCTTATATCAATTTTGAAAACCATTGTGCTGATTTTCATCTGGATTTTTTGATGAATGTCATTTCTAATTAAAATTGTTAGGTAATATAATGCATACTGTATACAGTAATGAAGTATTTATCATAATTTGCAAACTGTTAGTTTATAGTTAATTAATAGTTGATAAACTGTAGTTTCATTACATTATCCTAACTGATGTATTTTAACAACATGATCTAATGAGTATTTGTATCCATTTCATAATGACAGCATTGTTATTTACATTTTTTTTAAGTAGTTATGTTTAGCTTTGGGGATAGGCTTAATGTATTTGTAAACATTTGAAGGAATGCTGAATATGAATCCAATTAATGTCCAATAAAGTTTAGTTCAAAGCACTTAATGACATTTTCCGATTTTCTGTGACCTAATCTAAAGTGAGAAATATTTATGGTTAATAAGTTGTTAACAAAGCATTATCTAACTCTTTATGAGCTAATTCAACAATAACACTTCGTTAATTACAGTGACAATGAACGAAGAACTCACTATTTGCATATAGTCTATTAATGTATTAACTATTAGTTAACTATTTTTTTCCTTTTTACCGACCACGTTTGAACAGTGGTATAATAGCTGAGCTTTTCCCCCCCTGTATTTTGCAGAACTGGATGCTGATTACCAGGGTAAGAAGGCTAAACCTAATGATCCAGATGTTAAAGCTCGTGCGAAGAATACTCTGAAATCAGGCCCTCCACCGGGGGCTCCCGCAGAACACCAGCCCTTTTTTAATCGACTCTACAAGGCCGTTGCTTGGAAGCTCGTGTCTGCTGGTGGCTTTGGTCCCAACCTGGAACACTACGAAATCTTGCGCAGTTGTGTGGAGTCATGCAAGGCCAGTCTTAGCTGTGTGTTTGTACCTCTCAAAGACATTCCTGACCTGCCTATGGGACGTACCCAAAAAGAAGGCCAGGTGTGTGAACTGCGCTGCTGCACCGTCTACGTGGGTACGGGCTACGGGCGTGATGAGTGTGCCGCCAAGGCAATGGCTTCCAAGGAAGCACTCAAAGTATTTCAAGGGCAAAAAGTGACAGTGAAAGTTTGCCGCCGCAGGTTCCGAGGACGAGACGTTGACGATTTGGTTCTGCTGGATGAACAGTCCAGGAGCCAGGTTTTCCCTCCAGCTCTCAGCTATCCCTTTCAGGAAGACCAGTAGAGCTCCATTCTGCCCCAGTGATTTAAAAGATATAAAGATTCAGTTGTGGCAGCCGTGGAGACGTCCCAAAGATTTTCATTTGGACAGTTTTGCAGTTATGATCATTCAGAATGGCACTAAGGAGAAGGACCGAGTTATTTAGTTGTGTGTAAAAAGGATCTTAAAAAACAAGTGCCGGTCAGTTTTGTGGCTTGTAAACGGCTTGCTCTGTTGCTTTAGAGTCTTGTTTATGGTTTGTGGTTGTGAAGTTGAGATGGTTTAGATCTTCATTTCTGCGGTTGTAGTTCTATCTGACCTATGAAAAATGTTGGCAGTTTAAAAAGCGGCTATTTTAATTAGTATAAATGTCAATAACTTTTGTTTTATTTATTTCTGAAACATTACATTGAGAATATACAGTCTGCAGTTGACAGTGATTGGATTTTTCCTGGTCCAATATTCAAAATAACAAATATACTTAATAAAACAATAAAAATAAAGGTATTATTAGCTTGATACTTAGATTTTTTGACACTCTGATTTTTGTATATTTTCCCCTCGCTTCACATATATTGGACAATTTTTATTTATGAAACATTTCTACCACTGTGACAGAGAATGGTAATGTTGCTGTTGTTGTGGACCTTTGGGCAGATTTTTTGAATGTCAAATAAAAACCGCCACCTGTGTCATGATGAATGTTGAAGCAGAGTTATCAGTGAAGTGTAAATGTTTGGTTTAATGTAAAGTTTACTTGAGGTTTACCTGGGGTTCATATGTTCTGTCTATACCTCTGCTTTTGTAGTGACATTTTAAAATTAAAACATTCTTAGTGCTCACTATATCAAAATAAACTTCATTAGGGCCCCAAGCACCAGAGGTTTTGTGTTAATTACACCAGATGTATTTGTACTGTTTTGCTAATAATTATAAGTTACCTAAAAGTGTCTAGACATCAGAGACCGTAAGCCGAATCTCAGACTTGATGGGGTGGTTCCAAATATATAAAGTATACTGTGTGTGTGTACGCACATAGTGATGGCATCAATTTCAGATATATGGCAAGCTGCATCATTAGTGTGTGTGTGTGTGTATATATATATATATATATATATATATATATATATATATATATATATATATATATATATATATATATATATATATATATATATATATATATATATCCTAAAGATACTGAATATAGCTTTTTTGTGAGTTGTCCGGCATGACTGAATATATTGCTGTACAATTAAATTGAGGAAACAATGTAATTTTGCTCTTTTAATATAATATACAGCATAATATTTCCTTAAAGAGACATTTAAAATGTGTGCTATTTATAATGTCTGTGTTTGATTATCACATATGGTGCATTAAAGGTTAAAATAAACACAAATACAAAGTTTTAAAAGTTAAAAGGCCAAATATATTTATTATAGAAATAAATACAAATAAAAATGGACCTTAAGATACCTTCTGGATTTACAAAATTTGAGTTGCAATTAAACTTAACAGTTTAACAGTAAAAGGGAGGGATTTCCTTTCATTTGTTTATTGTGAAGCCAGAATGTATTGCTGTTTCATCAAACCCTGTCAGTGGAGACTCATGATGGACTTTCTTGCTAAAATTACAGCAAAGAAACATTATATTTGAAAAGATTAAGATGATTACAGCTTGCAGCTATATTTTAAAATATGTTTATTTCGTAAAATAATTTGTTTGTAATCAGCTTATAAAAGGATTATTGTGTTTACATCACCTCAGTGCTCATTTGTTTAATCTCTTGTCAGAGCAGATCTAATTGTTACCTAAAGCAAATGACAATTTTATTACACATCACATACTGCTTTCCTCATATTTGCCCCATAATCAATTAGCTTCCTCTCCAGCAACCTGAATGCAATTCAACAATCAAATGAATAATGAAAAATCGTTATGATATCTGAATATTAAATGGCTTAAAGGTGCACAGAGGTTTGATTGTTATATAAAATGAGGCCCATCAATATTTATTTTAATGCAGAGATGTGCTTGACCTGTTTCTCAGTGCCAGCCAGCAACAGCAGACACGTATTTCCCGTCGTTCCTCACTCTTCTTCTGCTGGCACTCTGTAAAATATTTACAAACATAAATGAACCTAACAAGAAGTGAAAGCACCCATTTGAATGCCGACTTTGATTGACATCTGAGGGAATTTGGGTGTGTTTTTCTGCTAGGCTGGACGTTTGACTCATCCTCTTAGGCAGAGCTAATCATGGGACAGTCTGTACTGTGCACTTTTCCTCATTCTCTCCTATGAGTCAGAGGCTTTTGTAATACAGAAATGTCACATATTTTAAACCCTTGTTATAACTAAGTTGTTGAAATCATGCATGCAGATGGAATGAGATGTGTGAGACAAATTGAAGAAATGAAAAGGAACGGAAAACTGAGCTGATGTGTTTTATAAAACACTTTCCCTGATACGTCATTATTATATTGTTCAGTTAACTTATTACATTCAAAATCAAGACTTGGTATGTATTGCTTCAAAAAGATTATGGGTAACACTTCACCATAAGGTTCATTAGTTAACATTAGTTAATGTATTGACTACACGTGAACTAACAATGAGCAATACATTTGTTACAGTATTTATTCATCTTTGTTAACGTTAATAAAAATACAGCTGTTCATTGTTTGTTCATGTTAGTTCACAGTGCATTAACTAATGTTAACAAATACAACCTTTGATTTTAATAATGTATTAGTAAATGTTGAAATTAATATTAACTAAGATTAATAAATGCTGTAGAAGTATTGTTCATTCTTAGTTAATGTTAACTAATGAACTTTGTAAAGTGTTACCCTATTATGTATTTTCCTGCAACCAACAATTGCACTAATATTTATCATAATTTAGGATGTGTTAACCAACAACGTCTTCTTCTTTTCGTTATTCTATTAACATTTTACAATTTTTCACTGCAGGTTGCCACTTTTGATTTTAAACTTTTATTATTTTAGTAAGTTGATTTTTCTTACAGTGCATAATGTTTTGTCATGTGTATTGAGGAGCAAGTCAGGTGTCAATTTAATTTATATGCCACAACAAAATATCTTTATTACACTAGAGGAAACACACAGACTGCCTTAGAAAACAAAGGTCCACACAATTTATTCAGGTTTAGTTACACATCAAGAGCAGCAAATAATTAAACAATCTTTCAAATTCATCTGTTTTTCTCATAGCACTTCATAATCATAAAAATAGAAATCACATAATGTATAAATATCTGTAATACCATGTGTATATTTCCAATTCACAATCCATCTGTGTCTTTACAAACACTTCAGCAAAAAGTAATTGCAAAACGCTCCACGTGGACAGTCACACATTTTGCCGATTCTTGAGCCTTTTCTGATGGCGCATTGCTCTCCAACGTCGCACTGATGTGAAAGCAAATCGTCAGTGTTAGATACCTCAGAGTCAGCGTTTTGTGAATAAATGTAGAGATGGTAAATGTGTGATTTGAATCTAGACAAAATCCATTCTATTATAGAAATAAAGTGTTATTAAATATCAAATAGTGAAAATTCGGTTTTGTGCTATACTCACTGTAGGAACGCGTCCAAACTTCTTTTCCCAAAGTGAGATGCGTTTACTCTGCAGTTTCTCCAAAACGTCATGCAAAGCCCCCAGCTGTGAACAGTAATGAATCAATCCAAAGTCAGTGTCATTAAATAGTTTTTTTTTAAGAAGGGAGAAACATTTGTTTTCTATACGCGCCGAGAATTACGCAATACTTACGAGCTGCTTTTCGTTTGTCAGATTCGGGTCCTTTGGGTAAAACTCTCTCAAAGCTCTCGTTTCTAAGTCAGATTCGTTGTCAAAGTCCATTTCAGCACCTTGAATGCAGGAAAGCAGCACAGCGCATGCCATCGCTGTCGTCCAGAGTTTGGAGCTCTCCATGGTCACAGCCGAGATTGAACGCGTCCTCTGCACTGAGATTCAAGTGAACACTCGCTTCCCGCGGTCCAATCACCTTATATCTACTCCAGTGACACACCACTCACTTCGGTCCTTCTTTTGCTCCACCTTACACATTGATTTTTGCCCATGCGTAAAAAGGACGCAGACGATGACTCATTGCGTAAAACTCCCGAGTTTATGTCCAAAACAAGACAGAAATACGCCTGAAGGGGATTTAGGCTGGTCTTTTTTTGGGATAATATTATATGATTCTGCTTTTTGAGTGTTTTAGCAGAAGCTTTGTAGTTACGTTGGCTACATTAAAATACCAAACAGATTTTTTGAAACGGGACAAGATGTCACTGTTTACATTAGGGTTTATTTCTGAAATCACTTTCTGTATAGCCACATATCTAAAAAAAACTTTTAAAGTATTTCCACCGTCATCGCACAGGAAGAAGATACAGTTCATTTAACACATTGACTTTTTAAGCATGTTTAAACCTCAATGGTAAAAGTATGGGTCACACTTAAGATTAGGCCCAATTATTAACTGAATTTTTCCTCAATAAACTCCTAATTACGGCTAATTAGTTTAGGACTGCTGGTTAAATTTAGGTATTGGGTGATTAAGGGATGTAGAATATGGTCATGACATGAAGAATACGGCATTAATATGTGCTTTATACGTACTAATAAACAGTCAATATGCTAGTAATAATAAGCAACTAGTTAATAGTGAGATTTGGACCCTAAACTAAAGTGTTACCAAGCTCAAAAATTAAACCATTCTTAGCTGGTTTTCTGGTCTCACATCCTGGCCAGCTGAAAAGTGCCCAAAGTGCTTTAGAACCAAAGTTTAAGATGTAATCAGATTGAATTTTTGGAACAAAAAACACTAAAATGTGAAACATGTGACTACCCAACCTGGTATGAAAATACTGTTGTCCTGAGAACATATTTCAACCTTTCAGCCTTGTCTAAATGTATGCTAAGGTGGTTTTATTGTATTCACTTGCTACTAAAAATATGAATATGTATTAAGTTAAATTCGAGTAATAAACTAATAGAAACCAACATACAAAACCACTAATCTCATAAATCCCTATGTGACAACCTGCCCCCTCTCCCCTATATGCCCTCAACCCACTGTTTTTGTAATGTGCACATAAAGTGGCCCTCTTTCAAATAATTTGTCAGTGGACTTGTTTTTTTGTTGTTGTTTTTTGTTTTTGAAAATATATTCAAATTATATATTATATAACAACATTAATGTCATCCCACACTAGTTTAGCATGACCATAATACTTATTTTTAGTAATGGAAAAAAATACACAAAGATGATGAAGCTTATGTGTTCCTCCATACCAGCTGTCCTACTTGCATTCATCTCTAGTTTGTCAGCTTTTTGTGAAGCAGCATGCACAGCCTTTATTGAACCTCCAAAAGGAACATCAATAGCTTGCCAGAAAGAAAACCTGCAAAAGACCAGGACAAACTAGAAACTGAATGGTCCACCATTCCTAATGCTATTTTTGTTACATAAACACAAGAAAGAAGTAAGTTAATACATTTTCTCTGGCCAACAAATTCATTTGGCACAGGTTACCATAGAAGATTTTTGTCAATTTTTGTTGGTTAATCCTATTCTGGGCACAGAAAGTGCATGTTGTTTTGTTGTTTCCTGCTGATTAATGCAAAGCAAAGCCTCACTTTGATCCGGTCTCAGTTGCTTCATGAGGATCTTTTGTCGGTTAGAGGCAGGAATCTAACCAGGTCCGTCTGACTGCTCTGTGGGCTGCATGAGTCATATCATTCCAATTACTACATGTATTATTGCCTGTCAGAAACTTGTCCCTCTGCACGGTTACCCGTTTATTAATACGACCACTGTCGGGGTAGTTTTGCTCACCACTCACGTCAAATGAGCTCTATTTTGATTTCCTTCCGAGAAAAATTATTCAATTTTGTGCAGGCAGATAGTTCATATGCATAATCACGCATGTCAGTGGTTTAACACCAGCAAAATGTTTCACTTTTCACGGTCATTATTCGCATACAATTTCTCCACACTGCTAAAATAAGGTCCTGAGGGTGTCGTTCCTGTCAAGACAGTGTAGACCATTTTTTGAGGAGATGATTACCGGATAGGACAGGATTGCCAAAGGGTGTCAAATCCAGACCAAGTGTGAGAATGGCTGAGAGGAACATAACTTAAAATACACATTGGCAGTTGCAGTAACTTGAGCATAAGCATTGTCCATGCAGACTTCATACACAGTTTGACTTGACAGTTTGCAAATGGTAGTTTGCTGTAATCTTTCAATGTGGTGAAGGTTCGCCACCCTCTGATAGGGGTTGTCTCCAATTTAAGTTGAGGAAATTACATATCTTCTGCCAAACAGCCTATATCCACAACAAAGAAAGCCTGACATCTTTTAATAATAAACTATCACCTTTAAGTTCCCATTAAGATTATTGGACTCTAGAAAACCTTCCTAAGCCACTGAAGGAGGTTGTTTATATGCAGCAAATAGGAAGATGGGTTTTGTCCTTTGAAGGCAAATCTCAAAGACGATGCAGGAGTGTTGTGTGGGTGAGATTGGAATTCATTATCTTCCTGACTTATCTAAGTTTTTCTCAGAATCCTAAGATCCTGGCTCATTTGTTTGTTTCAAAGATGTTTGTGTTCTTCTTTGGCTGGCATGTCGATGACCTCTCACCTTTTTTCTACCAGATGAATCCTCTTGAGAGTCGAGTTACTGGAAAGACCTTTGGAATTGATTTTGTGTAGGTGTGTGATTTCCCTGTTCCTTCAGGTGATCAAGTTAAGTGCATTACAGCCTCATTGCCTCTCTATTGTTGAACAATTAAAAGTAAATTAACATCTGACATACTTGTGTCTTATTTTCCTAACATGAAGATTTTGACTCCTTTTAATCTATCACAGCATTGATATAAAGCAGAACATCGGATCCCAAATTTCTTCGATTTTTCTTGATTTTCAATAAATATCCATCACTTACAGAATTTTTTCTGGAGTATATCTCTCTTTTTTTTATTATTGAAGATGTTCTGCCAGTCATCAGCAGTTGTTATTATAGTATATTCTGAACAGCGTTCTTGCTTCTGTGATATTGCTTTATTGAACATGGTTAATAAAAGCGTTCCTATAGCTCAAACAGGATCAAGGGTTTGATTCCAAGGGAAAGCAAAAACTACGGTGGCCGATAGAGCTCAACGCGCTGCAACTGAAGAAAACACATGCAAATAAAGAAAACAGCATCAGTTTGGCAACACATGTGCTGCAAATACTCACAACCCAAGCAAATACAGAAACGCGCTGCAAATAGCACAGATTACAATGGAAATGTCACAAGGGGACCCCAACAAGTTACCCCAACAACCTGGCTGGGACCACTTATTGGTCAATGTCTACTCATCAGAGGTGTTGTCAATGACCTGAAAGATGAGTTTTTTTAATGAGACACAGGTGGATGCAATCAGGGATGATGAGTCCGGGCAGTGAGTTATGGGAAATGTAGTTTGTGAGGGAATGACAATTGTCTGATGTGGAGTGCCCCCTGGATGCTCTCAAGGGCACTCCAGCTGGTGACGGCTACAATTTGCAGGGCATTTCTATATTTAGTTGCATTGTGAGTATTTGCAGTGGGTTTCTGTATTTAGTTGCATTGTGTTTAACAACACATGTGCTACAAATACTCAAAACACAACCAAATACAGAAAACGCCCTGAAAATACTCACAACACAAACCAAATACAGAAAACGCCCTTCAAATACTCATTACACAACCAAATACAGAAACGCACAGCAAATACTCACAATGCAACCAAATACAGAAACGCACTGCAAATACTCACAACGCAACCAAATACAGAAACAAGCTGCAAATACTCACAACGCAACCAAATACAGAAACGCACTGCAAATACTCACAACGCAACCAAATATAGAAACAAGCTACAAATACTCACATCGTAACCAAATACAGAAACAAGCTGCAAATACTCACATCGTAACCAAATACAGAAACAAGCTGCAAATACTCACATCGTAACCAAATACAGAAACAAGCTGCAAATACTCACATCGTAACCAAATACAGAAACAAGCTGCAAATACTCACATCGTAACCAAATACAGAAACAAGCTGCAAATACTCACATCGTAACCAAATACAGAAACAAGCTGCAAATACTCACAATGCAACCAAATACAGAAACGCACTGCAAATACTCACAACGCAACCAAATATAGAAACAAGCTGCAAATACTCACAACACAACCAAATACAGAAACAAGCTGCAAATACTCACATCGTAACCAAATACAGAAACGCATTACAAATATATATATATGCATTTAGTTGCATTGCGAGTATTTGCAGTACATTTCTGTATTTGGTTGTGTAATGAGTATTTTCAGTGTGTTTCTCTATTTGGTTGCGTTGTGAGTATTTGCAGCTTGTTTCTATATTTGGTTGCGTTGTGAGTATTTGCAGCTTGTTTCTATATTTGGTTGCGTTGTGAGTATTTGCAGCTTGTTTCTATATTTGGTTGCGTTGTGAGTATTTGCAGCGTGTTTCTATATTTGGTTGCGTTGTGAGTATTTGCAGCTTGTTTCTATATTTGGTTGCGTTGTGAGTATTTGCAGCTTGTTTCTATATTTGGTTGCGTTGTGAGTATTTGCAGCTTGTTTCTATATTTGGTTGCGTTGTGAGTATTTGCAGCTTGTTTCTATATTTGGTTGCGTTGTGAGTATTTGCAGCTTGTTTCTATATTTGGTTGCGTTGTGAGTATTTGCAGCTTTTTTCTGTATTTAGTTGCATTGTGAGTATTTGCAGTGCGTTTCTGTATTTGGTTGTGTAATGAGTATTTGCAGGCTGTTTTCTGTATTTGGTTGTGTTGTGAGTATTTGCAGGCTGTTTTCTGTATTTGGTTGTGTTGTGAGTATTTGCAGGCTGTTTTCTGTATTTGGTTGTGTTGTGAGTATTTGTAGCACATGTGTTGTTTTCTTTATTTGCTGCTGTTTTTTCTGTGCATGTGTTTTCTTAAGTTGCAGTGCGTTGAGCTCTCTCTGCCACCGTAAAAAACTGATAAAAATGTGAATGTG